AATCTAACTTAAAAAAAGATACGAACTTGGGGCACCAAAGTGCAAATAACCCAAAATAAAATTCGAACAACTCAATCCCCTTTTAAATCTCACAAACCTCGCCGATTGCCCTACCATAACCTGAAGGAAGTCGAGCTCGAGATTGTCGGTAGCAAATAAAGAGCGGATGAAAAAGAAAAAGAGATGGATGAGAGATTGGAAGAGGAGGTAACTATAAGAAGGGTTAGGTGATTAATCACATTTTAATCAATTATTCTGACAAAAGTGTAAGCTTTCTAGCCAAATCGGCTAGTTTTTGGAGGAACTTGTTTTACCTTGACAAATCATCACAACCCCTGCCACATCAGCGATTTACACTATATTTGAAATAACAACCAAACAATGAAAACTCGGTAAAGCTGAGTACATGCCCCACATTTCAATGCTTTCCACCCATTTACATTGTCAAATTGTGCAAACAAACAACCCCTAACTTCTTACCCTTCTAACCTCGTAATGACAGCATCATCAGCACTTTCTCAAAATCGAATCCAATGCTGAGGTTAAAAGTGTCATTCTTTAATAGCTTGAGAAGGAGGCTGAAGAAAAAAAAAACGCATTAATTTCCCCCAATCAAGATCGTTGAAATTTTCGAATCCGCGAAACGTTCGTAGCGAAACCCCGCAGCTCCCACGCCCGAAACATCTCCTCTTACCGAATATACCCCTGCTTATTTCCCAAATTACCCCTGATCTCCATCCGCATCCCCATTCGCATTAAACTCTCTGCTGACTCGTGGCCCAGGATTTCAGTCCAAGACGACGTAGGGTAGCTCCGTCTTTTACTTCGTCAGCCCAGACCCCGCATTCAAATTTCTGCCGCCTCCGTTATAATTTCCACATTCTCGAATCCGACCATAAATAGATCGGCGGAGGAGTGCGGTAACCGGCGGCCGTGACCAGACCGCGGAGGTTCTCCGGGATCGGCGATATGATAATGGATGAGGAAATGGAGGAGCCCTCCAGAGGGGATTTTTTTAGTTTGGAGATCGATCTCGATTACGAGTTCGATGCTGTTCGATACTTCGATTTCAGTAGAGAGGAGTCGTTTGCTGAAGCTTGGGAGGCTCAGCTGTGGTTCGAGACCGCCGGGAGTTATCCCCCTTCTCGTACAAACCCTAACCTTATTGATCTTTGCCTTTTTATCGTTACGTTTGAAATTTAGGGTTTTTGATCCAGTGACTGTTTATTGGCTTAGTTTTGCTTGATATTTGGTTTTTTCTTGAATTTCTTGCTTTTTATTCTTTATTGCGGAAGGATTTGATGTAAATTTGACGAGAAAGGGATAAAGTTTCTTTTTCCCCTCTTGTAAATGTTTAATAGGTTATTATTTGGATTATATAGGATTAGTGGATTATGTCCAGTCTCCACCCTCTAGGTTGAGAGCCTAAGGACCAATTTTCTGAGTCCAGATGGTCTTGCGAGGTGGCATTGTGCAGAAAATCGCAAATCAAATTCAATAAATTAAGATGGGAATTCAGCTGCATATTACGTCATTATTGGAGATTGAAAGATGCTCACAAGAAGATAGATGGATCATAGAAGTAGATAAACTGCACTGTGAAGTAAAAGTATACACATAGAAGTTATTTTTATATCTTCACAAAAACTTAATTAAAAAAAACCAGGAGGAATTTGTGTAAGAAAGGCCAATACTTTTTGCTATCATGGCTTTATCTAATCTAAAGCAATGGTTATTAGTTTTTATGTGGAATTATTTGGTAAAAGAAACAATTTTGCTTATCATCAAAGAAATTTTATGGAAAACTAGAGTGCAGGCCTTGTTTTAATACCTGCTTAAACTAATGTCACTAACCCTTTAAATTATGGAACTTTGCAGAGCTTTGTCATTGTTAAGATAGTATATATGTGTATAGGTGTGTAGGCCCACTATTGACCCGCTTGAGCCCATGTATAGCCTATATATTGTATTGTATTACAGGTTCAAAACAACAAAAGATTTTACTCTCCAAATTAATATGGTATCAGAGCTGTGATATCAAGTCAATCTTGGCCACCCACAAAACTCAGTCAAAATCTCAATCAAAACCAAACCCTACAAACTCCATAACTAAACCAATTGCCGCCACCTAAGTCTTGGTCTGCTGCCGCCTGGGCAGCGATCGCCACTCTCCATCTTTCTCGACCTCTAAGGTTATCGTCTTGCTGGTCATTGTCTTGCTGAAGATCTGCATCTTCGCCGAACTGCGTCATCCTCGACCTCCAGGGTGATCATCTTCCTTGATCTCGACGCTTGCACCACGTCAGATGTGGACTACAACCCGTCGTCGAACCTAGATCCAATGATCTCGTCGTATCCGCTCATCGTCAAACTGCCTGTTGTCGAATGCGTAGCTGCTGTCTCCCTTGTTCTCAGCTCAACATTGCCTGCAAAGAACACATGCATCTTGTTCTGGTACAAGTGCATGAAGTCTGCCGCCCACAACTTCACGCACTCCAACCGTTCGGCGAAATTCCTCACTGAGGTCGTCATCACTCAATGACAACTTTGCCAGCCCTAGCATCCTTTGCCGCCATCCTCACTGTTGTCCTTGTCAGTGTCGATCACATCTTAGATCGACCAAGTCCTCGTGCCGCCTTCACTGCTGTTGTCTGCTGCCCTCATTGTTGTTCTCGTGAACAATGTTACATTAAACGCTGGACGTTTCTAGGCGTCGGACTTGGCGCCTAGCGCTTAGTCGTCTAGGCGGGCGCTTAAGCGGTTTCCAGGTTTTTTTTTCTTTTTTATTTTTTTAATTGTGATACTTGAAGATAAATATATATATACTCAATCAAAGATACATAAATACTAAAATACCAACATTATTAATTAAATTGATTGGTTTACCAATTACAATAGCTCTTTATATGTTTATATTTCTCAACTCAAATTATAAGTTCATCTCAACCAATTACAATAGCTCTTTATATGTTTATATTTCTCAACTCAAATTATAAGTTCATCTCAACTCAAATTATAATATGTATTAAATTCATATAAATTTTCAAACTCAAATTATAAGTTCATCTCAACTCAAATTATAATATGTATTAAATTCATATAAATTTTCAAAAAAAATAGCAATTTTAGTTTCACAATAAATCATGCATACTTAGATACTAAATAGCCAAAATAATAATTAACAAGGCTAGAGTCTAAGATGTTTTTTTTTATTTTTAATTACAATAATTGATAGTGAATGTCAATGTTACAGAAAGCTTAGATGTCGGACTGATGTCTAGGCGGATTTCTTTCTTCATTTAAGTGGTGGTCGATGAGGTTTTGTTGAAGGTTGGAGGAGGTAATGGAGGTGTTCATATTTGGAGGTTAATGGAGTTTGGAGGACGTGTAAGCTACAACACATAAAATCACAACCAAGACCTACAGGGTACAATCCACGTAAGCAGACAATGCTCCCCTAAACGTTCGTAAAATCTAGGTGGACAGCCTAAATACCGCCTAGACGCTAGGCGCTAGTTAGGCGGCCTAGGTATCGCCTAGGCCTAGGCGAACGCCTAAGCGGACTAGGTGAAGGTTTTTTAAAACAGTGCTCGTGAACCTACCGATTGTGGTTGGCATTGCTTGTTCCCAATTCATCCCTCATTAGTGTTGCAAACCCTTATCGACGATCACACTTTGTAATCATGAACAAGGATTATACACCTTTCCGGTTGTTGTTATTCAACTCACCGGAGTTGAAAACTACATGATGTGGGTGTTAACCACTTAGTATAACTTCATGCTTTTGCGTCATGGGGATATATTGATGGTTCTCTTCCATGTCCTCTTTAGGCCTCTCCGATTATTACTTCATCTAAATTAAGTTCTATAATTGATGATTCAATTATTACACTTGGGCCTCCTACTGCTATTGGCGAGCCTACATATCACCAGTGGAACCATACAGATTAGCAGATTATAGCATATATTATGCTATCCGCATTTGGTACTATTCGACTATCTATTGGCAGTCTCTTTACTTCACGCGAATAGTGGACCACACTATCTCGCATGTTCGTGCAAATTGGAGCTGCTAGAGAATATTAATTACATCAAGTTCTGCAGGATGCTCGTCAGGATGATCAATCTATTTAGGAGTTCTATATTCTTCTTTCTAACTACTAGGAAGAAAAGCTGTTGGAGGTGACTGTTCCGGTGTTATTACTTGACTTTACTTGAGAATTTGAGGCTCATCATGATCATCAACATCTCTATCACTTTGTGATGCAGTTTTGTCCTGAATTTGAGTCACTGACGGCTCATGTACTTCATAGATCTCCACTTTTGTGACTCACAAATGCTGTTGTAGAGTTATTTTTGAGCAGACGCGTCTTCATCTTTTGAAAGACACTCCCTCTCCTACCACAATGGTACTCGCTGCCCAATCTCGAGTTCAGAACTCAAACCAGGGACATCAGCAGAAGGATCGTGATCATCTTCGTACTCAGCAACCTCAGCAGATTCTTTCTTGTGGAGTTTGTCGCAACTGCAAGCTTGAGGGACACTGGATGACAGATTGCCTCTCTACCTCTAAGTCCATGTCCTAATTGTAAGCTTCGGGGACACTGGCTCAGAAATTGTCCTACAAAGGCTTCATATCGCCCTCAGAGTACAACTGATTCTTAGAATACTAGTGCTTTCAACTCTCTTTTCACGGCTCAGATATATGCCATTGCTAGTTTTAATGCGCATAATCTTGGTATGACTGAAACTTATTCGTGTTCTGACACTGTTGCTCTTGCTGCTACTTCAGGTAACTCAACTCCTTGGATATTTGATTCAGGTCCCTCACAACACATGACCCCTCATCATTCTATAATTCAAAACTGCACTCCTATTATATCTTCGTTCATATATACTGCTAACAATTCCCCTCTTGCAATAACTCAGTGTGGTGACATTACATCATCTTCTCTTACCTTACTATTTGTTCTATGTGTTTCAAAACTCATTATGAATCTCATTTCTATTAGCCAATTAGCTGATTCTAAATGTCTTATTTCATTTGATTCAAAATCATGTGTTGTGCAGGATTCCAGCAATGGCCAACGGATTGGGACGGGTCATAGAGTGGATGGATTGTATCAGTTGGACCAGCTTCACACTCCTCTCTCAGCCATTGAGTCCAGTTATTCTACTTCTGCTCTTTAGCATTGTTGGTTAGGACATCTCTCAGTATCTCGTCTGAAAAACCTTAGTTGAGTCAGGAGTCTTAGGATTGTTTTCATTCCATGCACAAAATAATTGTATTGATTGTCGTATTGTAAAACAATCTACTTTATCTTTTGTGACTCATAACAGTATTTCTATTGAACCGTTTGATTTAGTACACTATGATATTTAGGGTCCTACCCCCTTGAATTCATGTCTAGTTACAGATATTATGTGGGCTTTATTGATGATTTTTCTAGATATACTTGGGTTTATCTCTTGAAATCACGTGCAATTTTTTTGATATATACAAAGACTTTACCAATATTATTTACACTTAGTTTAATAAGAGACATAAAGTCTTTTGATTTGATAATGCATGTGAGTATGTTTCTTCATCTATGAAAAATCTCCTTAATTCACATGGAACTATTGCCTAACAATCTTGTCCTCACATGCTAAAACAAAATGATGTTACTGAGCGCAAACATCGTCACATTCTTGAAATAATACGTGCTCTCATGCTCATTGCACATGTCCCTTGATCTTTTTGGACTGAAGGCCTTCTAGCCGCTGCCTTGTTGATCAATATTACCCCGTCATCCTTATTCACAAACACATGTCCATACTCTTGACTACACAAAACTCAGTTTAATTATTCTAAAATTCAAGTTTTTGGCTGTGTTTATTTTGTCCTTCCTCCTCAAAATGAACAGGAGAAGTTGTCACCTCGATCCGCTCAATGCATCTTGTAAGGATATAGTCCATGTCACAAAGGGTATAAATGTTATGATCCCAATAGGAGAAGAATTCAAATCTCACATCACGTCATTTTTTTGAGAACTTGTACTACTATTCATCAAACAATAAGTTGGATTTATCTTTTCTTAGCTCATCTACACCCACATCGATATTGCCAATGCCATTATACACTCTTATTCCATCCTTATCTCCCAA